AGCTTCCTGAAAGGAAACGCAATCATTTGGCAATGTCTTTGATGTGTTCTGAAATGATTTGATCGGCGTTTTGTTCGCCGCTGCTGCCTTGTCTTTTGACTTCCATACATTCAAATCCCAATGGAAACGCTTCAAAATAGAAAATTGCCACGACTTCAAGGTTTGACTGCAAAAATTTAAATTATGTTATTGGAATAAAATATCTATCCAGATCAGAAAATGGCCGATCCAGATCAGAGCTTGCCGACCTGATCGCATCAATCCGATCAATTGATGTTAGACATATATTTGCCAATATCTATCAAGAATCCAATATGTATGAGTAAACCATAGCTTCCAATCGATGGTTTTGGGTTCAAACTCAATCCCCCCAGTGGGCTGTCCACCTGGAGGCAAAGCACAAGCTTAGCAGCTCAGTGGTCAGTGGTGGTTCTTCAGCACACGGGATGAAGAACTTCAACGGCTCAAAGCTAGGTCAAAGCAACAACATGTTTCAAACTTGTTCAAAATGATTAAACTGTCAATTGTTGTCACGTGAACCAAATGCTGCGTTCCACCGTAGGACCCGTAGGACACACGTTCGCCTTGGCCGAAGGATTTCTTTGGCCGAGAAGCGGTGAACATTCGCACGAGGCCGGCGACAAAGAAACCCAAGAAGAAGATGGCGAAGACCTTTGGGGAGATGGATGTGCCACACGTTTCTCAGACCATCCATGGGACTGGAATAGTTCCATACGTAATTAATACACGATATAGGGTCATAAAATGGTGTGTGGAACCAACTGTTAATGGTCCATACATGGATGGTCTGGGTTTAGAGGATTTCGTGGATCGAAGAGGTGTCTCATGATCTTATATGATCTTATGCATTTTGCCCCTTTGTCTGGCCTCTATCTCTCTGGTCTAGACCTTCATCTCTCAAGTAGCGTCTGGTGAGGCAAATCTCAAGCAGGTTGACAAGTTGGAACAAGAACTCTCAAGTGAGCTCAAACAAGTTCGACCAAGTCCCCGGACTGCCACCCTCAAACAATCTGTGTAGCTCACAAGTGGGCTGGAAACCATCATCCAAATTGCCGGTGGTTGCTATGTCGCTTCAGGGGAGCCTAGTTCTTCTAACACCTTCAACTCCCAAGTCCCAGCCGGTCGCGACCGGTCGCGCGACCGGTCGCGCGTAAAAAAACGCGGCGGGAGGAGGATTCCACTCCGACTCGCTCCACGACAACTTCCCGCTGGATGGTTTTAGGTCAAGAGACCAAGCCAAACTGGTTCAGCTCCTGCGAGGTTGCGAAGAAAAGCGCAAGAGAGGGTGAGTGGGACCTTCAGGTGGAGAAAAAATAACACATACACCAATCGTTCAAAAAGAAGAAAATACCTTAACCGTAACCTATTGAAAATAATGATAACACATGCAATATCATGCAATTATATACACATAGTATCAAATAGGCAACTTAAAAACGAATCTGAATTAATCTGATCACCACGAATCGTCAGAGATTTCACAATCACTCTAAATCGTCCTAGAGTTTGGAGCTCGAGGGCCAGGGGTCGAGCTGGAACCACACGAACAAATTCATGTTCACAGACCTTGTTTTCTTTGGTTTACATTGATATACAGAACCTTTGACTATAGAATACTATAGAGACATTGATTTACAGAACCTTTGACTATAGAGGTGATCACCTATTCTGTCAGAATCCGACAATGACCCTGCCAGGTACCAAACCGCTCCGTCTCAGAGAAGGCCGAGGCTGGTTGGGGTGCGGCGGCCACCAGGGCAGCGGCAACACCTCCCGGCAACATTCATCGAACATCCAGCGGGCGCCGGTTTCGGGTTTCCCCATCCAAAGCAGTTTCAGGGAATTGGGGCATTTGCCTTGAACATCTAGTCCCCCAAATGATAGAACACTTCCCCACTAAATATGTATTGGAAACCGTGCCACTATCTATTTGGATATCACTATTTCTGGGTGTTCAAATTCCACTCTTTTTGTCACTTGGCTTCAAGGGATCGCGAAGTGACATGATGTGAGTGATGCATGCAGAGTTACTTACTTGCCACAACTACTTCTGGGATGCACTCAAATTCCCTTTTGTGGGAAGCATCACCGACCCTGTCATGTATATTCTTGGCAAGCCTCAAAAATCACGTTCTGTTGAGATAGGCACGTTTCAAACGCTTCTCTTTCCCTTTCCGAACATGAGTCAGCATGAGCTACATTCAGCCCATCTGCCCCTCAAACAAATTCTGCCAGCGTTGCCCTGCCAGCTGTCACGTGGTCAAAATCCTTTTTCTGTACATCGTTGCAATTGACAATTCTTCAAGTTGCAGAAGTCACTTCGCAGTTCCCAAAAAGACCTGTGTGGTCATCTGCCAAAGCTCTTCCCAGGTCACCGCCCCCGGTAAGCCAAGTGACCAGAGGCAGACACCACCTGCAGCATTGGAGTGAGGTTCCAACCCAGACATCCTGGAACGGGAAGCCCCAAAAAGGGCACCAACCGTATCATCAGAAGGTAGTTAGACCTCCCTGGCACCCACCCCAACCACCTGAGGATGTGGTTGGAGAGCACTGGGGTGGAAGGACCGCAACGACATGATGCCGAGCGTGCCATCCACTGAGCCCATCAAACATACTGGATGACCCATGTGTTATGCCACAATAACAGCTCAAGATGGGTTATGACCTAACATAACATACTGGACCTCATCCCAAATGACCTCCCCAAGAGGTTCCATCATGGTGACCCATCAGCTTGGTCACAGTCTGGAGGTCACTCCCTGCTGCCCAGTCGCAGGTCCAGTGGGCGCGCTGGCGCGTTGGGGCGCGATGAAGGTCAAGGACCAGGAGAAGAAGGCGGCCACGGCCAGGAGAGGCCTGAATGGAATGATTTACTTTGGAAATGTACCAAACCACCTGGCCTAGCTGTGCACGGATTTTAGGGCATGGGTATACTGTATGCCCAGTATCTTGTATGGCTACCTGCAATCAGCTCCTACTTACCAGGGGCCTGGTAATACCTTAAGTATCCTAAGGTAGGCTCGTTGATGCACACCATCTGGGAGGACACTACGGACTACGGAGCTGGCTGTTCCCAGGGGTTTGGACCGAAAACCCCCTACGGCGCATCGCGGGGCCCTGGCCGTTCGGATTGGCTTGGTTTGCTGCTCCAGGAGCCGGGGAAACAACAGATTTCGACAAACCATTCAGATCCATTCAGGGGATTCACCCACTTTGGGAAAACGAACCATCAGCAAGCTTGTGATGTTCGATAAAACGCTTTCGATCGGGATAGATCCGCAGATCCGGTCGACTTGGGTTCTGGAAAGTAGAAGCTAGCAAAAGGGTGGAGGTGAGCTCAGCAGGTCAGCTCAGCAGGCTTCTTCTTCACTTCTTCACACACTGCACGTCAGGGACAGGTTCAACCATGGCTGTCACTTTGGTTCCATGACCATCCTCCAGGTCGCTCGGGCCCTGTCTTCATCCGAAGTCAGCAACCCGAAATGAAAGGGATCAATTCTCCGGCCCCGTCGTTGGGAACCACCGGACCCGGCCCTGTCGCCGAGGCTCAGGAGGACAGCTGCAGATCGCGCCATGTCAAGCACCTGCTGTCGCGATCGGCTCGGACGGCTCGGACGGAGAAGATGGCGCTGCGGCGAGAAGTTCGGGTCATCGGATCCCGGAACTGGACCAAACAAATGGTGCCAACATCTGGGCAGTTGGAACAGCTCGCCTTGTTCCTATCCACTGTTCAGCACGAAGTGCGCGTCTTTATTCACCAAAGGTGGACGATACTTGAGGCCAGAGGGGGTGAACGAAAGCTAGCCGGGCTTCCGGTGGTCTGCTGCTGGTGCTGCTGCTGCTGGTGCTGCTGCTGCCGCTGCTGCGCTGGGCGCTGCTGCGCTGGGTGCTCTGCAGGCGCCGGGTCGTCTGCTGCTGCTGCTGCTGGCGCTGGGTGGTCTGCTGCGGCTGCTGCTGCCGCGGCGTTGGGTATGCTGCTGCTGCTGCCGCCGCTGGGTGGTCTGCTGCTGCTGCTGGTGCTGCTGCTGCTGCTGCCGCTGCTGCGCTGGGCGCTGCAGATGCTTGGTGTGCTGCAGCTGCTTGGTGGTCCCGCTCACCGCGCGCAGGGGGGAGTCGAACCGCGGGGGGGGGGGGGGGTCCATAAGATTGATTTAATCAATTATTTGAGGTTTCTGAGGTGCGTCCACCCCGTCACTTAACTTGCTAAAGCAAGAGCAACTCCAGCTAGCTAAGGCTAGCTTTCGTGACAATTAATGGCAGGATTTCCGGAACCCATAAGACCCTGCAAGAATAGTGGGGCATCCTCTTCAGGCACTCGTTCTTCCTTCATCCTGCCTTGACCGTCTTAAGGTCCGCAACTGAGGAGTTTACGATGGATCTGAGGATCCAAAGAGCTCCAACATTGGATTCAGAGAGCCAACACCTAAGGATTGGTTCGACCCCAAACCCCTCCATATGAGACGTCCGACCCCTCCATATGAGGGTCGCGTCTGGGTGGAACCAACACTGAAAGAACACCGACCTTGAGATCTTCGTCACCTCTCAGCAGCCACCCCGGTGTCACCGTCGTTGGGACAGATCGATACGTTATTGTCTCTCAGAAGGTTGGCACCCGGTAGCCACCCTGTGGCAACACACCGTATCGGTGCCACCATTCACCTCAAACGCTTGGAATAATATGAATAATGTTCTGCAGGATTTGTAGCAGGCCCAGATCCACTCCCTCGTGCTGAAAACCCGGGGCACTCGAAGGAATATCTCGCGGCAAGACGATGTTTGGAGCCAAAAACCCTGCGAGCAGTCTAGAGATAGATAGACAATAACTCCCACCCACTCTGAGCTCTTCTCACACACCATCACACACCTAGCTGGTCCTAGTCTTCTTAGGGTCTGGCATTGTCTAACAGTCCAATCTCCAAAGAAAAGGCCACACTTGATCTATTTTTTGAGGTGCCCTGTTCCATCCAGTCATATGGCCATCATGCAAAGATGAGAGAGGCCAAGCATGTTCTCAGCATGTTCTCTGCAAGTGTCTGTCCCGCGCAGTTTCGGACACCCTGAATGACCCTCAACGGACCTTTTCTCCGCAACTCGGCCCTCGTGGTCCGAACGACGGTGCGACTCGGGCGAACGTCTCCACCCACAGGCAAGCAGCCAACCAGATCATCTCCATAGTAAAGGCTATAAGCGCCTTTCTGCTTGATTCCATCAGGAATCGGGAACATGTTGACAATCATATCTTTGTAGTTTTCTGGAAGCCCCAAATCTGCCCAGTACATCACCTCGCCAATGAAGCTACCTTTTGGTCCAGGTGGTTCGCCTATTGAACATCAAAGGGAAAACAACATCCCTCAGGGATGTCTGTCGTCGTTTCCCATTTTTCTGGCCAGCCTCTCATCACCTGGCCCAGCTTCCGAAGGGTAGGCTTCTCAACGACCATCACGTCAATGGGGCATCACCTTCTATCCGAGGTTCTGGTAATTTCTTGTATCTACCATTCAATCAAATCTCTTCCACTTCATCTGCACTGGACTTGGGCAATCCTCTTCCCTTCGAGTTCCAGCTGATCAATCACCCGGTCCCCCCGAGCGAAGGAAATCGTTCCTGAGACCTGGCGAGCCAGGTCGTTGCCCCATCCCGTGCTCTTGCCACGACGGACCATCGCTTGTGCAATAGATCTTTTGATTCCAGCACTCTGCGGCCGACGTCGCCCCAGGATGGGTGGCAATCTGGAGCCAATGCTCCAGTTTGCGCTTCTTCAAGCTTTGATTGGTGTGAGCCTGCAGCAAAGATCGGGCCGCACCATGCCGAACTCGCTGTCATTGAAGCGCCACAAAGCCATAGAAGTAGGCCTGAAAGGAAGGGGAACATCCTAGCCCAAAGAACAACAGCTAGCTTAAACTTGTGCATGCAACTGACATCGAACTGCCCCCTAGCACGAGGAAACAACATGAAGTGTTGCAACCCCAAGTTGAAATGACACCCATGCCATTTGCCACATTTCACCGCATGGAATCCACCAAGACCCATGAATTCCTTTTGAATCCGAACTTCTGCAGCACACACCGTGCGGCACATGCCGGTGTGTAGTGTCAAGGTGCGAATTTGGCAGGGGTGAATCAGGTCTCCACTGCAAGAGTCAAAAAAAATAATATGGAACTACAACTATTCCATGATCCTGCTATCCTGGGTTTCAATGTGTATCCAGGGGTTTACACTTACTGTTTCCGGCCTTTTTGGTCCTGAAACGTCCTCAGTTCGCGACTCGATACAAATTGACACCCTCACGGATTGGCGCCATTCGGGAGGGGACGAATGATCTTGGTACAGTGAGGCATCGACTGCATCGACCGGTGAACCAAAAATCGACAGTCCTAATTTGTGTTTTTTGCGACCAGAACAGGGAAATATGCCATACTGGTTTTCCCACAAACAGCAGCATTCGCAGGGTTCGATCTACGGCAGCTCTGGATTTAAGAGGAAGAGGGGGAGGAGTAGTAGGAGTAGTAGTAGTAGTAGTAGTGGTAGTAGTAGTAGTAGTCGTCGTAGTAGTAGTAGTAGCGGCAGCAGCAGTCGTAGCAGAGTTCCAGGAATCAAGCAAAACTGCAAAACCTCTAAAGAGCTTAAGCAAGGAATTTAATGGAAAGTAGTTAGTAGCTGAACATAGAATCTATGTTTGTAAATAAACAAGACAAACCAAGAATGCAATATTCCGACCCCGGTAAACTATTTGGGGATTGGTCATACTTTTGGGAACACGTGATATGATTCCCTTCCCCCTGACTACTTGGAATTGAACATGATGCCCTCCCTTCGCTCCCTTAGCCCGGCGCGGGAAATTCGCCGCTCCGCACCTGACCGGGCCATTGACGGTGGAGGGACCGGGAGCCATCCGCAAACGTGAATGGAGGTCGAATGGAATTGGAATCCCAAACACGACCTGTTTGGGACTGCCATAGGACTGCCGATCAGGCCAGGGGTGGTGCCATGGGGGTCAATGGGGCAGCATATATGGCAGTCCCATGGAGTGTCTGGGAATTGTGTCATGAATTGGCCTGTGCGGTCCGGAAAAGCAACAAATGTAGGCCTCTTGCGGGTGGGAACGTGGCCGTTGGATTTGGGGCAGGAAGCATCCAATGGGAATTATGTATATTAGGGTGGCTTACGGCGGACCTTGGGCTTGCTACAACTGCTACTGTCAAAAAGCAGTTTAAAACAGAAGACTCTCTCCAACTGCTGGAGATTCATGGGAGACTTTTTCACACTGCTCCGCCTCCGCCAGAGTCCATGCCATCTTTGGGCAGTCTCAACAGGGTGTCCTTTTAGAAGACCCTATCGGGAAAGCAATATTGTGTAAAGTTGCTGGATACAATCTGATGGCTGAGCCCAGCCAGCAAAGTGTGGTTGAACAAAAATCAGCAGGCCATCAGAAGAACATCACAAAACTAAACACCTGCGGAAACACGGCAACTTTGGTGTCAGCCTTCTTTCTTGCTCCGCTTTCCATCCAAGTACTCTTGCGCAATCTGGTTCATTTTGTGGATGTCATCCCAGCCATACCATGCTTTATTGAATCCGGCGGCCATCCCAGCACCCTGATTCTGCCCGGCCATCGAATGCGGGTCCTCTTGGATCTTGCCATACTGAGCTCCCGCGACCATGCGCTGTGGCTGCGGGGCTCCTGGTGGATACTTCATCCTGAGAAAGCATGAGAATGGATCGATCTGAATCTATATCATCTATGGATTGAGCAACCAACGGTGGAGGAGCTCAGATTTAAACAGACCGCATAATGGCATCCTTGCACTCAACAACTTTGGACATAGGCCATACTTTCGGGTAGTTGGTTCTCTAAGACAAGGAGAATCACATCCTGGTACAAGTAGCACCAATCAAATCCTGGTACATAGATCTACATAGGGGCTAATTATATATATATACTTAAAACCATCTAAAAACCAAAATCACATTCTTCCGACAACTCTGCAATGTGCCCCACATTGATGGGGGCGAAAGGCACTGTCCATGCCATGCTACCGAGCTGTTTCATCCGCCGATCGATACCGGTCCCATCCAAGTCTCAGCTCTTCTTTTGCTTGCTCCACATCAGCAAAGACCTCAGTGAAGACCACACATCTTTGGTGACGCAGTGTTGTTTCTGGGGCTGAACGATGTGAGCATTCGGATTTCAGATGCACTCTCCAATCCCGTACTACCATGCTATGTACCACTTGCGCTGAGAACTGGTTGACATGGAAACATGGAATTAGAAGGCGTGAAGGATGTGGGAACGTTTGCTGAAAGGACAGTAGAATCCAGCCTTGCTGGGGTACTGACCCACTGTATGCAACGGTTCGTCCGTCAAAGAACTGGCTTAAAAACCTCTGTGACTGGTTAGTTGATCCCAAACAATCCATAGAAAACCGACTTTGTCCTCAACATCCTCAATAGGTTCAATAGGCCCATCAAGTTTCTCATCTCCTCACCTAGTCCCTTCCAAAATTTGGAAGCTGCGGTTCGGCATGCTGTTCACAGCCGAGACACCCCACGCACTGCGCCAAAGGCCACCGCCAGAAAGCACTGCTCACCCTCAGCAGCTGCTTTGCGGTCCTTGGCCTGTTGTAACAAGTAGTCCTGTGCGATCCTTAGATGGCTCTCTCCCAATGGCGGCCAACTCCGTGGTACTCATCCAGTGGGCAAACTGTTGACATAGTCTTCCGCCCATGTTCCACCGCAACCAGGTGATGTTGGGGAGTGCAAGTGAAGCAGTTTCACCCCATCTTTTGGTTGTGGGAGCTATATCAAGCAAAGCAACGAGTGATATCAAGCCTGGGTGATGGGATTTTGCTCCGTGCCACGACCTCCAAAAGAAAGGGAGAGTCGAAGATCTCTTCGTGTTTCCAGAGTTCAGAGTGTTGAACCTGAGATCTCAGTGTATACAACAAAATGGGTAGAGAACCTGTCTTGTGCAGGTCATGTGGCATTTTCCAAGGGACCCTTCGTCTTTTAGAATCCAGAATCCAGGTGCATTAAAGAAATCGTAGCACTTCAGCAACAACACTACAAACCATGATAATTCCTAACAACAATGGATGCATTCATTCATGTGGGTCTTGATCTGCAACGGATCTGTGTTGATTGGGATATGTTAATAATATATTGGGCTATCGAACACAACAACATCTTCCAAAAAGTTCTTCCCCTCAGGCTCCTTGGTTGTCTCACTCTGTGCACAAAAGTTCCTTTCTGCTCCACTCTCCCACTCTCTCTCTCTCTCTTTATTTTTACTCCAGTGATCGTGCTCCCAAACATCCCTTGCGCAGTGACCCAATCTACGGTGATTTTTTCTGTCCTGATGTGGTCATCTTTGCTGGTTTGGTGGCTTCTCTGTTGCCTAGCTACCCCAATCCACCGAAAGTAAGGACCTTCTTGGGGACTCATTGCCAAGCATGCGATGGGGTGGAAAAAGACTTGATGAAATTGGCGGGTTGAATCCGGCTCGCTTCTTCCTTGATGACTCCCACATTTCGCCAAGTCTCTTGTTATACTCGTGGATGGTTGGCCAGCCCCACCATCTCTTGTCGAAGCCAGCCTCAGGCATCGCTAGCCGCTCCAAATCGCGGCTCCCTTCTTTGGGCGCCTACTTCCTTCACCCGTTTTCTATTTTTTAGAAAGATCAGGTCGGTCTTTGATGCTTGCTGCGGAAAACCATACCTATAGACAGTGCTTGACGGAACAACTCCCTCGCCAATGCGGGCGCGGTAAAACTCCCTCGCCCCGAGCTACGGCTCCAACCACAAGGGGAAGGAAGGACTGGATAGGTCCGGCTGAAACCCCAACCACCAGCCAGATAATGAGTCGGTGCCTACCTTAAACCAGGATGCACCAGTAGGTAAGGATTGAAACCAGGCTTACGGTAAGCCAGCAATGGCTGATCAGGCTCGACCTTGCGCTCCTATCAGCTCCTTTCCGTTTAAAGCATACTAAACCTAACTGGACGCCGATGGAACGCCATTTACAATAGAAATCATATAGACACCATCAGCCACAGAGCTAAGCAGATCAAAGCAAACTGCCCCTGGTTTTCGGCAGCAGACTGAATCCGATCCTTTTGCGACAGAAACGCATATGATCCAAGTGTATCCAAGTGGCTTTCATTGCAGCTCCTTGGTTCTGCCCGGCAACAGTGTGCGGGTCCTCTTGCACCAACCCGTACTGGGCCGCGACGATGAAACGGTAGGGTTGCGCTGACTCCTTGAACCTCAGCGCAGGCCGCGGAAAAAGGCCGCGGCTTTCCACTGCCCGAACTGCCGCAGGTGATCTGGCCGCTGGCTTCATTGGGCCCCACAAACATATCCAACCAAATCTTCTTGGTTTTGACTTTCTGGTGCTCACACCAAACACGGGGCTCACTCAAATGATTCAGGACGGGTGTTCCATCATCCCAAACATCCGCAGGTCAGGGAGCTTGCTCAGTTCGGCCTTCGCCTTCTCCAAATCCAGGAAGACTCCCTTCACCGATCCGCCAGCCACCACAATGTAGCACTCTTCGAGCCTGGGAGGGCAAACATATGCAAAAAGCACAGGAAAGCGCCGCCTCAGCCAATGATACGTAGACTCTACGTAGACACTGCTTGAAAACTGCTTTGAGTCAATCCCCAAATCCCAGCGTTACCTCTTTACCTCCTCGGTCTTTCTCCCAGGTCTTCACAGTACACCGCCGCTTGGCAAAACCAACTTTTTGGTGCATGGAAACATTGCCATGCAAATGATGCAAATGCATCAAAGAGTATGCGAAGACGACCAATGTGCATGCTCAAAGCAAGACTTGAAGTCAGCCAAGGAGCGAGTCGTAGTCTGGTTCCTCCACTTTCGGCTGGATCACCTTCGTCACTTTTTTGGTCTCCACCTCCTCCCCAGCATGAAAACCATCCCTCTGGGCCGGCATGGTCCTGCAGATGATGCTGGCCCAAAGACTACTGCAAGGTTAACACGTGTTAAAACTTGGTACATAAAGTGTTTGGTCATGTGGTGGGAAACCAATGTTGAAACCTGAGGGTCTGAGGTAGCAAATCGCAACATAGTTCAGAATCACACATTTTTTCAGCCTGGGGATCGTGAACTCAACAAGCCACAACTCCATGATGCACGACCCTGCCTGTGACATACTTGGATACAGTCGAAGATGTTGCAGAAATCATCGAATTCCATCCAAAATGCACCTTACATCTCGTCAGTCACTGCAACAAGTCGGATGATACAAACCACACAAGTCCGGCATGTCCGATTTGTTTGGAATCACCGGGGCGATCCAATAACAGATTCTATCGCACATGAACATGATCTGACCGCAAAACCAATGAACACCAATTGGTTGTCGCCATGGAGTGGGAAACCTCGTCCCTTCGGAGAATCCGTGTGGACCTGGGCTGAACTGCCGATAGGTTTTGATCTGTGTTGTGCATTGCTGTGCGAGTTCTTTTTGTACATCCCAAACTTAACCATCCATGTACCAAATAGTTATATACATGCATTCACTCCATTATTGATACTCCTATATAACCATTCGATACATTTCATGGTCTGGCTATGGACCGGGTCTTCCACATCCCCAAACTGCTTGAGCTTCAGTCTCAAGCAGTCAGACAGGCTGGATGATAAAAGGGTGCATCCAGAACTTCAGACCACACCGCAGAAAGGAAAACGCATCTCCATTTCTCGGCAGAAATTCGATCTCCGTCGTTTCTCCAAGTCTCCATCATTTTGATCCTCGTAGCCAACGGCCTTCGCAATCTCCGGGAAGGCCTCCCACTCTTCACTCTCGTCGGACCAGGCGCCGTTCCACTCGTGACCGTTGCCCCAGGGGTTCCTGCGGATAAGGTTAGTGAAAAGAGCGCGGGGTTGAAACAGCACGCAGGGGGGGGAAGAAGCACAACATTTGGTTTGGCTGGTGCAAAAGGAAGGTGGAGGGTGCTTGAGTGGATCCAAAATGGAAGCATCAAAGAAGCCCCATGTTTTTGTTGTGTACCCAAGAGTCAGCCTGAAAGAAATAGTCATACACAGTTGTATAGAAGGTGGCACAAGTCCACAAGCAAATGGGCAACCCGTCAAATACGCAAGCTCTTCTATCATATATCATATATATGTGTACATTTTTTTAAACAATGTGGACACACTTATAGGGGTTCTTAGGGTAATAATTATAAGCAGCTGTGCTTAGATCGCTGTGCCGCGAGGGCGTGTCCGGTCAATTCGCTGCTATTTACAGTACATTCATGCCTCTCGAAATCGTCAACGTGTCTTTCGACTGCGCAGGCTCGCAGAATCTGGGTGTCCGCGGCGGGTGTTTCTAACGACTGCACTTTCGTTGTGGTGCCGTGCGCATTTTCGCACATGGTATGGTGGTCACTTTGCCTGGCAGGGGAAGAAACCTCGTGTTTTGGTGGTCTAAAGTCGACTTTTCGTGACAGCAAGGGATGATCGGAGCGGTTTTACTTTGAAATGCAGATTCCGTGGCATGCGCAGCACTTTGGACATGGTGGTGATCTTTGACGAGCTCTGCTTCGTGACAGGTGCAGTGTATCGGGACTTTTGGACATGTGGCTCCTTTGCAGGTTTCGTGGCAGGTACAGCACTTTGTGAGCCTCGAAGTGCAGATTTCGTGGCAGCACTGACTTCAGTGTGTTGGCAATCCCGGGTGACTTTCCTCTGAAGACATGAAGCCTTGAAGTCTTGAAACCCTGCTGACGCCCTGACGCCTTGAAGCCTTGAAGCCCTGGTGCCCTGGCTCCTTGAAGACCTGAAGCCTGGTGACGACCTGAAGCCTAGTGACGACCTGAAGCCGAGTGACGACCTGAGGCCTGGTGACGACCTGAAGCCTTGAAGACCTGAAGCCGAGTGACGACCTGAAGCCTAGTGACGACCTGAAGCCTTGAAGACCTGAAGCCTTGACGACCTGAAGCCTAGTGACGACCTGAAGCCTAGTGACCTAGTGAAGGCCAGAAGCCTAGTGACGACCTGAAGCCTAGTGACGACCTGAAGCCTAGTGACCTTGAAGCCTTGAAGACCTGAAACGACCTGAAGCCTTGAAGACCTGAAGCCTCTTCGTGTCTTCGGGTCTTCGCGTCTTCGTGTCTTCGCGTGTCTTCGTATCTTCGTGTCTTCGTGTGTCTTCGTGTCTTTGCGTGTCCTCGCGTCTTCGCGCGTCTTCGTGTCTTCGTGTCTTCGCGCAAAAGTCACAACCCGCTTCTGCCAATGCAATGACTTTGTCAGCCTCGAAGTGCAGAGATTGTGGCAGGCGCAGCACTTTGTGCAATCTCACTTTCACTCGCTCACTCTCACTCTCACTCTCACTCACTCCCTCACTCTCACTCTCACTCTCACTCACTCTCACTCTCACTCTCGCTCTCACTCACTCCCTCACTCTCACTCTCACTCTCACTCACTCTCACTCTCACTCTCGCTCACTCACTCACTCTCGCTCACTCACTCACTCTCGC